ACAGAAATGAAAACATTTTAGGTTTTGTTGGAAAGATATTGTGTAATCACATGACAGAGTTGAGCTCGCTATATAAAAAATGATTATTACAAGTTTTTTTTCAGCACCAGCACTGGATGTGTGAATTACAGGAGTTGATTTTCATTTATTTTTTCAGAATACACTTAAAAAACCACAAACATATGTAAACCCCTGACGCTGATATTTCCTAATAAGTGCTTCTTTCAAATTTACAATTTCCTCTCCTTTCTCCCTCAGTCGGTCTACATGAGCTGATTCATCAACGCCTTCTGAATTACTCTATATAAGAGGTGATGCTGTGATCGTTTTTTTTTTATCAGATTCGACCCATGAATTCTTTATATTTTACAAATACATGCTGTACAATAGAAAAATGTTTTAAACTACAAAAATAAAACTGATATAGCTACCATGAAAATGTGATCATGTTATATAAAGAAACAATCAAATAAACGTAAATTGTGCCTTAATTAAATGAATTGAAAGATATAATAATAGGTTGCTTCTAAACTAAAACTGAACTCAGTTAACATTACAATGTACGGATCAGTCTGAAGCCACCAAAAGTTCTGCAGTTAAAAAAAAAAAGGAAATGAAATGACATGATATATGTTGTGTTCCTGACTGCTCTCTTTAGAGTCCCTCTTCTCTACAAATAGACCGCACTCCAAAATATAACATCTCCAACAAAGGCCTCTTCTCTTACACTTAGCTGCCATGACTGCGGTAGGCCTGGTGAATGATTACATGAATACACTCACATACATTGTTTTATATTCTACATTGACCCATTTTACAAATATGCAAAATTGGTTTCATACAAGCCATAAGAACATTTTTCATATCAAATAAAAAATAAAAACAGGTCTACACATGCTGTAGAGTCTATATACAGTTATATAAAAAAACAACAACAGACGAATACGTACATAATATCTTTTCAAAAACCTCGTACACTTCCATAAAATTGATTTATTTGAAACAGAACAAACATTTTCATGGATTATTAGTGTTGAATTCATGTAAATTTAGTCTATATCTCATGTAGATTTGACAAAGAATACAAAAATAATTATTATCATACATCCACGCAATTCATATCTTACCACCATCTAAAGGCCCCTACACACCAATCTGACACCAAAGAACACGTCCCGTCGGACCCGACTGTTGTGTCGCCTCACGTCTCCTGCGTCTTGGCCAACAGTCGCACTGGAACCAAGCCTCCAGGAAGTGCGCCGGACTCTGATGAAAAATATTCGTTGTGTCCAAACGGCGGTACTACAATTTACGTATCAGTCCGTGACGTCACTGGGCCCAGAAAGACTTTTTCCCATTGACTAACGTTGGGAAAGAGACGTCTGTAAATCAGCGGATCATTTTTTAAAAACTAAATAAACTACCCAGTATGAACTATTGTATAGCCCTTATTATAATCATTAGGTCCTTAAAGTTGTAAAATGCACTAAAAGCCGAATCTAGATTTATTTTCTCTCTCCATTCATTCTACTGAGCCGAGAGTGGGAGCTCGGGGGGCGGGGCTTAAGGGGCGCATGCTCTGTGAGCGCACATACGGGTTCTTCTGCTGTGACAGCCAGGCATGATGGGTAATCTGTGACGTTTCGCTCTCTCAAAAGTTGGGCCATTTTGTCCTCATGCGCCAATGAGCAGCTCTCATAGGAAAGAACGAGACCCCCGCCTCCGACGCTGTATCCAGTTCTTATTATACATCCATGACTGGAACACACCGCAAAGACTTCAGCTGACGGCCAAGTAGCACGTACGAACTGAGTGGCAATAAGTCTCCTTATCAGCAGGCGGCGGTAGTGTGTATTCGTCATTCAAAAGAGGCAACAACCAGAAGACAGACTGCGTGATACACCGAGAGAAGAACAGACTGCGTGATATAAACAAACAACAAATATCATGTGCGTTTAATTTTCACTCTACAGCGAGAAGCTCATGGGGCTTTCCCGAACCTGTGTCGAGAGTTAAATGAAATCTCAGATTTGTCTTCTTAATCGTTTGTTTGGTTCCCTCACTTCCGTTTAGCTTCTCATGCACTGATTCGCTAGCTGAACAGCCATCAGAGTGATTTCTTTAGCCGACAGCCTTTTACCGACAGCCGGAAGGTGTCGGCACGGCCGAAAAGACACGACGGGACACACGAATCTGAGGGTGCGTTTCACTTCGGGTAAATGGATTCCTTGCGTCGTTTCCCTGCGACTAGTCCCTCCCACCAGAGAAGCATGGAGAGACGCAAGGAAACCACGAGAAGCAGGGAAATTAGTTTTAAGAGCAATGGGACGTTGTTTCCTCCGGAGTGTCACGTGAAGCGACTTCCGTTTGTGATGACGCCGCACAGCTGATCGTCTGACAGCAGCCAGATCAGTGCATGCGCTGCATCGTCCAATCAGTGAGCGATACACAGTAAGGGGGCGGGGCGAGTGTATGAGGATTTCACCGGAGGATGGTCTGGTAGTTCCTCGATTATCGCTCCTCCGTTATCGCTCCTCGGTCCTCCGGCACAAATAAGGCCACTGGGACGCTACTCAAGATGGCGCAGACAAATCAACTTCCGGTGATACAGAGACCGAGGAAATGAAAAATAAGAGAAGTGAAACGCACCCTGAGTAGGGCGACAGGACGCTCATCGACGGCCAGACATCTATCGACGGCCGAAATCGGCTTGGTGTGTAAGGACCTTAACAGATGTTGCAAAAGACACAATATTGTAAAAGACTGAAAAATTAAATGTCAAGGAAACATATTTTGGATCAAGGAGGTCAAATTTTTAAGACACACTGACATCAACTGTGGCACAATAAGATAAAGGTGGGCTTGGAAAACATTAAAGTCTTTTTGAACAACCGGGATAATATATATCTTTTGTTTTTAGACATCACTCTCATAACAACATTTTACTCAACCAGTCATATCTGGGGAGACAGCGAACTGGGATTTATAAAATAACCTTTAGTTATCTAAACCATGAACACACTTGAATGTTCATTAAATGTGTGCTTTGCCTTGAAAACTACTAGTGTGCAGAACTGCAGTAAGTACAGTCAGTCAAAGCATCCAAGTTGGGTTATAACTTTAGACTCAGACTTGATTTCATTTAGATAAACATTGCACCTTGTGTTGCTGTTAGGCTTGTGACCCTAATTTTAATAGCATCTCACATGTATGTTATGGAGGAAGAGAGAAACAAGATGAGAAAATTTAAAAGCAAGACTTTACTCTATATTTGTCCTTTTTTTAACAATGTGCCATCTGCTGACACACACAGCTCTACTTCCTAAAAAGGTTGGCAGTTATTAGCACAATTTATGAATTTTATGTGCAACTGACTGATACAGAAATGTCCGACTCTTAATTTTGCCAAAATATTTATGATAACGTTTCTCTACAATGACTAGGATGAGTACAGTGTTGTTCTAACCTGTATGAGTATTTGTGTAATCTTCCAACATTAGGACGCAGGCTTACAACAGTTACATGAAGACACATTTTAACTAGGGCTGCACGATATAAGGAAATGATATGTTAAAGTTGAATGTCCTGATAACGATATAACTTGCGATTAATAAACAGATTAAAGGGTACTGTTATATGTATATATTTAAATTGACTAGACTTGGATCTTAAAGAGCTGCAGAGTTTATTCATAGATCAAACTGAAATCTACACTGTACATTTACTGCCATGTGACTTCTTTACCGCTATTTTTCTTTAAACACATACCTAAAACAAGAAACGCGTTGTATGCTAACAACGTATATATTGTTTTATGATAAATGACAATAATAACTATGGGCCGAACAAGCCTACCTGTGTTTGTCACTCAACTTGCGGGAAGACAAACCCAGGCTGAGCAGAGGGAAGTCTCAGAGAGTAGAGCGTAGTAGTGTCGTTGCTTGTTTGCTCACATTTCGATTACTGCCCAGATCAGGCTACTGATTGTGTTTACTGACCAAAATGACTTCTTACTGGCCATCAGACAATCCTTATTGTTGAACAGCGACGGCTGTCTGATTGGCCATAGAGTTAACAACAGGCCCAAATCAGACAAAAATATCACCTAAAGACAGAGCGTAATTTAAAATAAGTAACAATTTTGAAAGTGCAATATTGCAGTCTTTTGCACTGTGCAGGGCAATGGCGACAACAAAAGCTATTTTGTGCAGCCCTAATTGGAACCTTTGTCCACAGCTGATTTGATTGATGTGCTCTGTTACTGGAAAGATTGTGTATATTTTAAATGAATTATCATCGACAGCCTGCTGAAGTGGATGTAGTTAACCAGTTAAGCCCCAAGCCTGTTTTTCAGGTCTCAGGCTCCAAAATGACATTCCCAGAACAAATGACTATAACTTCTAAAAGGGGTAAATTAATCATCTTTTTTCTCAAAGCAATGATACACCTGTGAGTTGGATGTAGAAAAGTCAGAATCAATATATTTTTTATTTTAAAGTAAATTCAGATTGAACATAGTAAAAAAATGTAAATGATAGTGTCCGTCCAAAGATAACCCATTACTTATAGTGAACACCACCCTTGAATGATGGGATAGGACACTAAAATCTGTAGGAATCCAAACTATAACATATAATAAGTACCCTGTATCAAGATTGATGCAAAACAAGTGAAATTTGACCTTTTTAGAGAGATTTAGAAAAAGAACCCACTTCTGGGGTCATTTGGGTGGATTTTCCATATCTCTGGAACCCATCGGTCGATTTTGTTGATTGACACCTCTTTTTAACCGATAGAGCCAATGGAATCGAGAGGGAAGTTCCTAAATCCATCTAAACATTACCATTGGTGAATGAGTGATGCGCAGCCAGCAAGCCCAAAACCGGAAGCTCTCATACACTCTTGTAGTTCGAATAGCAACTATATATGAAAACTGTTTTTGCCATAAATATGATGATGGATTATCAGTAATCATTTCAAAGTGACACAGAGACATTGGATTAACCTTCAGCAGCGTTTATATGCGTTTTAATGCCATTAAACAAACTTTTGATCAGAAAACAGCAAAGGTAAGACATATTTGCCGTTTTGGCCCCGTAAAGCTAAGTTGTGTGTTGTCTGGTGCCTTCGCTGCCCTGAGTCTTGGTCGTGGAGTGATGATACTTATACCATTGGAATATGTGGAATCTCAGCTTTCATTTGATATCTTGTTTGTGCAGAACCGATGAAGCATAAAATATTTCTCCCGTGAGTTCTGTCGTGTGTTAGCATTTTTTTGCTTAGTGCTAATTCAGAGGCTTGGTATTACCCTTGTGTTTCGTTTAGATAAAAATTGTTAATATTGTCTGATAGCTGAGTTTCTTCCCGTTAAGTGGGTATGACACATTCATAGTTTGTTAAATGTTAAGAAGCCCTCAGACGCTGTTTCTTGCAAGATGTTGCATCATGGGGCTTAACTGGTTAAAGGAAAACTGGACTGGCCCGCTGTGTGCTAATTGGAGGGCCAGGCACACAGTATCAAACAGTCAAAGTATTTAAAGAGAACTGAAATGCTACTTAGCCCAGCTCGGTGTAAAGGACGGGAACTATTCAGATTTATGGCAGTAAAGGTCTTTAAGGGCTTTCAGTTCTTCGATTAGTGTCTTGTTTTGGTTCTCCAGGATGGCCACTCGGTTCTCCACACATTTAACATACTCCTTCTTCTTCCTGCGACATTCCCGGGCTGCCTCTCTGTTGGAAGGATAAGACATTGTCCCTCTGATTAAATTAGGGGGGATTTAGTGGAATATTTGATTAAATGCATCTACTCCAAACTGACTTCTAGGCCAGCTGGTTATGAAATGTGATATTGGGGCATTTCTGTCAAAAGGACAAAGCCATAAATTGAGACCAAACACACAAATACAAAGATTTCCCCATTTTTCTTACCTGTTCTTCATGAGGCGGACTACTCGTTTGCGGGTGACCTCCACTGTAGCGCCCTGGATGGGCAGGGCGGGGGACGAAGCCATGACCACCCCTGGGGCGATGGTGTTGGTGGGAGCTGCTCTGAATTGATAGGCCTGCATGTCACCAGAGGCGGCTGAAATGTGTGGTTGTCAGAGAGTAGATGTTAAGTCAAAAGTCAAAGTCAACTTTAATGTCAATCTTTCAGTTTGTGTGTACAGACAGAGAGATCGAAATAACGTTTCCAACAATCCCGAATACAAAAATACAAATATATATACAAATATGTATAAAATATGTATATCCTATACACAATCAACAATTATTAAATTGGTTATCTTGGTAAAAATCACTTTTTCTTGGAGAATCAATATTTTATAAGCTTGTTTGGATGAGTAACAAAAGTAAAGAAATATATATATTAGCTACCAACTACAGAAAATGAAAGAGAATAGAAGTGAAATTAGACTTTTTAGACCATAATAACATAAAATAGGTACATTAGAGAGTAATGAGTTGATGTGTTGCAGCCCTTTTACACACCACTCAGTTAATACTGTCTACCAGTGACGTGCGGTGAGGTTCATGGCTGGTGAGGCACTGACTCTTTCTTTTAAATTTGAAAGGATACCCAAAATCTAAATATTGGATTGTTCTTTCTTAGTAAGATCCCATTTTCATTACAATTGGGGTCTTACCTTGACTTGAAAATGAAGTCCATGCTATCCTTCTGGACAACAATCTCTAATACTTTTTTGTAAAAGTCCTCCTTATCTTCCTCTAGTTTCAAAAGTCTAGTTTGTTGTTTGTCTCTGCGTAGAATAACAGTAGCAACAAGAACCTGTGGGCTCACGTGCGCCCCCTTCAGTGCGGCAGAGGTTATGGCTGCCTCTCCAGGTGCTTTTTTCATTGCCGTTGTACGGCGAGCCTAAATATCATATATACGTGAAATAAGTTATTTAGAGACTATGGATGGCGGGGATACAAATAATAAAGGGATCTACAAACATTACATTGGTGACATACAGTGAGATGGTGCAGGCATGCGCTTAGGGCCCGCTCCAGCCAGTTTCTGTGGGGTGACGCATTCTGAGGTGAAGCAGAGCTCATCTGTGCCTCACCTTACCCCACAGTAACTGGCTTGAGCACGCTCACAAAATAAGTGCCCGCGTTAAATTAGTGCCCGCGCTCCAGCCAGTTACTGTGGGCTTACGAGAGGCAGAGCTCGTCCCTGCCTCACTTCTCATCGCTACCCGTAGTTGTAGCAGAGCTCGGCAAATTTGCTGATTTTGACTATAAAAAGCGATTGGAATCATACATAAATCACATTTACAACACAGATCAGTGGAGACATTTTATTATTATTACTATTTAGTTTTTCTTTAGTTGTTTTTCCGTTACATTGGAGTATGACAGGTGAGGCTCTGCCTCCCCTGCCTCCACTGACTGCACGTCGCTGCTGTCTACTCTCACCTTGGACCACCACCTGGTTACTGGGAACCAGAATCTGCTGGCCGTCGCTGGTCTGAGCGTACTGCAGGATGGTTGCCCCCTGCTGCGCGGCTGATGCGTTGCTCATGGTCAGAGTCTGGATGCCCTGGACTCCATCTGTACCGTTGTTAGCCAGCTGAATGGCTCCACCCTGTGTGATTGCAACTGTGTGTTGAGAGGGGACAAATTAGAGAATTCATTAAATGAAAATCGGTCCCTATGATATGCTCATTGTAAATTCCTAAAAAAATGTATTTGGATGAAACTTTTGTCAAGAGGTGTTTAACATTCATCAAAGATGTTGGAAGAAATGCACATTGAGACAATGAGTGAGTAAACAACAAGCTACTTCATTGAAGAAAATAATCAACCTCTTGGACTACAGCAAGAAACCAAAGGGCTGAAGCACCGCCCGGATACATCACCACTAGATGCTTTAATGAGGTGTGTAAAGATATATCTTTGTGTTTTTATAGAAGGCAGAAGCACGTTGACGGACACACAACTTGACATATTTTCAACTTATAAAGTTGTTGTGGCAACAACTAAGCAAACAATTGATAAGTTACACATTTACGCAGGTGCGTATGTATACGTATATGCACACAGTCTGTCCCTGCAGGTTTACATTTTTCTGGCTAAATTGTAATATCACATAAATGAATATACTTTTTAAGACATTGTGTGCTTGTTTGTCAGTGTTTCAACATCAGGAATAATTAGATTTGGTTATAAGAGAGATATAATTCAGTTTATATATATAGCATTTGCTTTTACTCCTCTGCAAACCATATATTGTGATATATTTTAACTTTATTAATTTCAAAAGAATCACAAGCCAAAAACGTTGGGTATCACAGCAACAGAGGTAAATCACAAAACATATTATTATAAACGTGGGTGAACCAGTATTTTCTAAGATAATTTTTAAATAGTTTACATGCATTAAAAATACATCCTAAACAATGTTTCCTTAACAGACAGAAGTAGGGGGCTCCATTGATCCATCACTTACTGTATTGGCCGCTGCTGGTCTGGTAGATGGGTGTGGGCATGGTGACGGTGGTGATTGAAGGTGTAGCAGCAACACATGAATCCTCCTCTGCCTTCTCCTCCTCGATACGAGGGACAGCCGGAGCGTCGGACGAAAGGTCGTTCAGGATTTTCCTGTTTGGACAAACCACCATGGGCCAGTGTTAGTGTGATGCTATGATTTGAGGTGGTTATGACAGACTTTTTATATACATTTTAAACTCACAATTTTAGTATTGATGGTAATTTCTGTCCCACAAACAAGTAATCTTCATTGTTTTGGGTTTTTAATGAAAAAGAGGGAGATTATTAAAAGAGCACATTGATTTAAGCCCCAGATTGTTAAAGCGTAGCTATGTTTGTTGCAGCAGGAAAAGTTAACTGTAAAAATGCTCTCTTGCAATGAAGACAGCTCTAAACGTTTTCTAGATAGAGTTAGAAACAGAACAGGGAGAAATGAAAAACAGCTTTGGTATGTAACCTGTAAGAAATTAAAAAGAAGCAACCAGAGTTTTTTATTATTAATAAAGTTTAAATATAGTAAATATAAGGCCCATGTTGTATGGTCAAATGAGCTTTAAAAACCTCAGAACTGACCTGTATGAGGGGCGTCGGGACAGAATCTCTCTGCGTTTCTGAGAGTCGGTCACACTGTCCACTGACTCCTGTGAATCTTCACTCTCTGCTATGGTGGAGATCTGAAACACACAAACAAACCTTCTCACTTAATGTTCTTTATATTGTGGCTTACTTTCAACAGCACATAAAACCAGTGTTGTAGGGGTGTCCGAGTGTTATACCTGCACAGTCTGGATCTGTGGGGACTGGATGACAGACGGCTGAGCGACCTGGATCACACCGTGCACCTGGACCGTCTGTCCGTTGGGAAGCTGGACCAGTGTTACCGTGGGACCTGTTGCTGAGGTGAGGCCCGACGTCATGGTCATCTGAAATTCAGAAGTGATGTCACCATGCATACTGCCATGTGCACTTATTTGTTGCATTTCAAATTGACATTGTTCAACATTTTTGGAAACCAACTGCACTTCCTGAGCAGAAAAGGGCTCCTTCTTTAACACCTAATACGTTTACATCCGCGTTACCTGGGCCAGAGTAGCGATCTGAGCCTGGGTGATGTGCTGGGTCTCCGTCTCAGTCACAGCAGCCTCCGCCCCCTGCTGAACCTCCACTGACTCCATCCTCATCGGTTGAGCTGCGGAGACAGATTTGGACAAGTGAAGCCGTTAAAACTCAATGTTTGTTTGCAGCAACTCAGAAAACCAAACAAACTCAAAGTACAGGCAAACGGAAATAAATCATACCCAACAGCTGTCAAGGGAACACATTTCTGAGTTAAATCTGTTCCCTTGAAAAAGGTTCATATTAACTCAAACAACTTAAATCTGTGCCAGAAACTTTTTTCTACTATTTTTGTTCTTTTTTCTATAATTGAATTGCTTGAGATCGAATATGACATGCAGTGTTGTTCTTTGATCTGTTTTTGGTGAAATATTTGCTGCTTCAATGAGAAGCTGATATTTATAAATCTGTCAATAACAACAGCTTAAGTTTCTATTGTTGTTACACATTTCTGCCACCATTCAGGAACAGGGAAATTGGCTGATCTGTTACACTAATACTCAGTATAAGGCAAGTTTATTTATATAGCACCTTTCAGCACACGGCAATTCAAAGTGCTCTAATAAACACTACAGGTATAGAATACATGAATAAAAGCCATACTGCAGTGTGAATATGAACAGCTCAATCAAAAGCGGCGGCAAAAAGATACGTTTTTAGTCTGGATTTAAAAGTATTAAGAGTTGCAGCGGACCTGCAGGATTCCGGGAGTTTGTTCCAGATGGTCGGAGCATAATAGCTTAACGCTGCTTCTCCATGTTTAGTTCTTACTCTTGGAACAGAGAGCAGACCCGTCCCAGAAGACCTGAGACTCCTGGATGGTTCATAGTTATGCAGGAGATCGTTAAAATAATTTGGTCCTAAGCCATTCAGTGCTTTAAAAACCAGCAGCAGTACTTAATAATCAATTCTTTGACAGACTGGAAGCCAGTGTAAAGACTTCAGAATGGGACTGATGTGATCCACTCTTTTAGGGTGTGTGAGGACTCGAGCAGCGGCGTTCTGAAGTAGCTGCAGCTTTCTAATCTATTTTTTGTGAGACCTGTGAAGACACCATTACAGTAGTCGAGTCTGCTGAAAATAAAAGCATGGACAAGTTTTTTTCCAAATCCTGTTTTGACATTAGTCTTTTAATCCTAGATATGTTCTTAAGGTGATAGTATGCAGACTTAATAATTGTTGTAATGTGACTGTCAGGTCTGAGTCCATCACTACACTTATAATCTCCTTCCCCCTGTAAAGTAAATGTTTTAATGATCATTTTAATGGCCAGCTGTTATCATTCACATTTCCATTGCACATATCAAACACCCTGGAGTGACTGTGCTGTTACGATGTATATGTTTTTAGTTCATTATATAATTAACTGTAATAATGATGACCAGTGGTACCCGTATACTGTATGTACAAGTAGGAATACTAGAGAAATACTCTTTTACAAAAATGACACAAGTCATGTGTTCAAAGTATTGGGATCAAAATATACTTAAAAAGTACTAAAAGTCAAGGTAATCATTATGCAGAAAAGCCCATTTCAGGATTATACACAAGATAGTATTGGATAATAATTGTTGATGCATTAATTGCTTATTTGAAATACTTTATGGTTGATAGCCATCAATTGTGATTTAAATGTTTATTTATGTTGTGTTGTGTCAATGGGCTAACACTTAGATTTAAATAGTACAACCCTGAAGCTCGTTTCCTTGTGTGAAGAAGAAAGAAAGAAAACTACTCAATAATAAATCAAGTACCACATATAAATGTATTTGGTAACTTTCGACCACTGATAATAAGTTATGGATTTTAACACATTAACCTGTATATATTTCATTTGAATAAGCAGCTTCTGAGCCTCAGTGATCTGATTTGAGGCGATAAAGTGTGTGTTGATCTGGGATGTTGTGATCTCACACTGTGCGTAGCTCCTCTCCGCTGCATGATTGGCTTTACACGTTTCTCCCTCTGCTTTTCAAAAATCACTTGTGTGACAGCAGAGCCACATGGCCGGGCGACGCCCCTTCCACACAGCGGCCATGTCCCCGGAGATAAGACACTGTTACAACTTAAATGACCAGATGGGAGTTTACTTTCCAGGCCTGAGATAATGTTTTTAATTTGCAACCAAACGCATCGGCTTACATGTAAGGCCGATTCATATGAATACACAATAATGGCCACTAGTAAAATGATTATCGGAATGTGTATAATCAGAAATAAAATATTTGAGATTATAAACATCCATTTGATTCGAGGAAGTAGCCTACATTAATGGACATGATGGGTTCAATGCGCCGTTTCCAATGAAAGCAGCGCAAATCTGTGCGCATAATGGCTGCATCATGTAACTGCACAGTCTGGCAGTTGCATGTAGGTAATAACAACGCTAAAGTCCCTATCATGTCAAATGACTTAACACACACGCACACACACACACACAAACACACACTGTCACTCCGGGTTCACTATCAAAGCGGCACATTTTCTCTGTTTCTCCCCAACAGCCGCAGCCTCCCCTCCCTCCCTACAAACACACCGCGGCGCCATGATCTCTTTGTTTCCTTCGGGCCGAACCCGACAACACCGACACTTTCTAGGGCTGAGTCCCGTGTCTCTGAGCCCCGGACACCACTCCGTCCTTACCGATACAGACTCCCTTCGTCACTCCCGGGCCTCCGGAGCTCCACTTTTATTCTGGCCGACACGTAAGAGCCCGCGTCAGGCTACACCTCCGCGTCACCGGGAACAACAACACGGAGATTGGAGAAGAGAAGGACGAGAAAGCAGATGGCGACACTAACCGGAAGTGTCCGATGTGGGAACGGAAAAGGCCGGAAAATACCGACGACTGGCGGATTCTAACGAAACCCTCCTGCCTTGTTAAGAGTTTGGCAAAGGTTTTTACAAAAAGCACTTTAATAATGATGTAACAAGAACAACGATAATCTGGTGGATAAACAAGATGGTATTAAGAAGTGAAGCCTGTTCTTAGAATTTAAGGGTCGTTCGGTTCAACTTATCAAGAAAACTGTTCCCCATTTGTATTGTAGTTGAATATGAAAATAGTTATCACAAAGACCTATGACCTTATAATGCGTTTTTATAATTAATCCTGAATTGTTTGATTTAATTTTATCCTGCAAAACAAACAACGTTTTAATGTCAATCGTTGCAATAATTTAGATTGAAGAGTTAACATATATTCTAAATTTACTTTCACTTTTAACGTATTTATTTACTTTATATGTTTATTTTCCTGATTGCTCTTACATACATTTACTTAAGTAGTATTTTCAATATAGGACTTTTGCCTTTATCATATTTTTTACAATCTGGTATTTGTACTTGTCCACCACATTTTCGGAGGCAAATATTGTACTTTTAATGGAGGCTGCAATTATTTGAAACACGAGTAGAATAAGATATCCGTCATTTGCCCCACATCAGGAAATGGACATGGCTCTTGGTTATTAGTGAAAGTTGCAGGCATTCTTACTAAAACCACCAGAGGGAAGCATGAGACCATTTTAATGATCACTCTGCAGCTGAAATGCAAGATATGAAGCACTACAAAAAACATGAACATTTCAGTACTTCACTTAGGCCTATTGTTTTGTTGCTTTGTACTCCTCGTTTATCATTGTGATCACCATATGTATTAAACCTTACTCTGTTTTAACCACACACATGAGAAAGATAAATATGCAGATATTACATGTATACTATAGTCACAGCATTTATTCGCTTTTAAAAACAGAGTTAACAAGTATACTCATTCAGATGTGACCAATTACTGTGATGTGGAAAGCAGTAGAGAAAAAGACACCAACAAAATCACCAACTGACTGATATTGATTTTTTTCTACACGCTTGCCGTTAGAAGAAATTAATCAATACCTTATTTAGCCTAAAATAATTAAGAAACATAAAGTTAATGATTGAAATAATAACTTCTTATTTTTCTTTCAAGCCTCAGACTGCAAAGCATCATATGAAATCTATCAGGATATACAGAGAGGCAGCCATTGGGTTTATCTCCCCAGATGGTGGCGCTGTAGAGCTGAAAAAACTCTCCCACCATGTGCTTCTCAGTCTGCCTCCCCTCCTCCTCCCCCCCCCCCTCCTCCTCCTCCTCCTCTCCTCCTCCTCCTCCTCCTCCTCCTCCTCCTCCTCCTCCTCCTCCTCCTCCCTCCTCCTCTTCCCCAGCGCGACAGAGATGCTGGTGTCATCACAGATATGGAGTTTATCAAGGCAATTCCTTTTATAATCCTCCTGATGCTCGTTGCCGGTGTTTTATCTGTTTAATAGCATTTTACTGCGACAAGCCGTAAAAAACACCCTTTTTATTGTGACACCAAACACATTGTTTGGGGAATTGACCCTGCCTGGGTAATGAACAGCAGTGAATTTGCAGCCAGTTATAAAAAAATCAGGAGGGGAGGAGTGTGGAGGGGCTGAAGGGGGGTGACAATTTTGACCCAAAGTCAAGAGGAGGAATATTTTACAAAAAGGGGGAGGAAGCATGCTCCATTAGAGGTTTTCAAAAAGGCTGATATAGCTCTTCTGATTTTGCAGCAGTGATATCCATTAGTAAACGTTTTAACAAGTGCAACATGTTTAACACCTCTAGTGCCGTTTTTGTCATATTTTTGGAATTATCATCTGAAATACTGCAGTATTACAGCGCTGAAGAAACATACATATCAAAATGATATGGAACGGCAATGGTAAATAAATGAAAAACCCTAAATAACTGAAAGATAACATAAAAACAGAGGCTCCCGTATAACATTATTCAAACCATATGCCAATATCTTGTTGATGTGTACTCATCATTTTTAGGTGGTCATAATTCAAGACAGAGTAAAAAAACAAACATGACATGTATATTTCTTATGCTTCATCATATACAGTGAATGACAGACGGAGAACTCATGATTCTCTTGTGGGAGAACATGTTAAAGAGAAGTGGGCTCTCCATGAAATAAAACTAATTTTACATGCACACGCAGACACCAAAAGAGAACAAATCAATAGAAGCATTTGGTCTATTATCATAAACACACAGTGTGTTTGCAAGTTGGTGTGTGTGTGTGTGTGCGTGTGCGTGTGTGTGTGTGTGTGTGTGTGTGTGTGTGTGTGTGTGTGTGGGAAAAATTGTGTTTTTATCTCCAGATGGTTGACTGAGACTTGGCTGGTTGGTACAGAGTTAGAGAGAGAAAAGCAGGCAGAAGGCGTCTTTTCTACTTGAGCTCAACAAAATGTGTGTGTGTGTGTGTGTGTGTGTGTGTGTGTGTGTGTGTGTGTGTGTGTGTGTGTGCCAAGTCTGCCAACCTGCCTGCCTGTGACCGTGTACATGTGTGTGCGTGTGTGTGTGTGTGTGTGTGTGTGTGTGTGTGTGTGTGTGTGTGTGTGTGTGATTGACCTTGAGGAAGGAGGCTCAGTTGGAGGAGAGAGGGATGAGGAGCACAACTCCCCCCCCTTCACCTCCCCTACCCCCGCTGTGCCTCCCCCCTCTGGGTAAAGAACGACTGGCTTCTCATCCTCCTCCTGCCCTCTCTTTGCTACTTCTTTCGTTTCCTATCCATTTCTTTTATTTCCTCTTTCCTGCTTGTTCCTTCCGTTTTCTTCTCTATTCTTCTCTATTCTCCTTGTTTCCTTTTCCCTTTCGTTTCCTCAGCTTGTTACTTTTCCTCTCATTGTTTATGTTCTTTCCCCTCTCCTCTCCCCTCCCCTCCTCTCACCATTGAATGGCTGTGGACTCCTCCAACAATCCCTTTCAGCAGCCAAGGTGCTCAGAGAAGAAAAGAAACACAGCCATGTCTAAAGAAAAGGAGAGCAGGGAATCAAATGCCAAACTAAAAGCTATTTGAAAGCCTTGGAGACTGCAGGATGCCCGGGGGGTAATTTAAAAAAAAAAAACCTGCCACGGGAAACGGTCAAAGAAGGAGGTGTCACAGTCTGTCTGCGATATGCTTCATATTCACAAAGGGTCCGAAAACAGCGCTTTGATTCCTTCACAACACTTCTATCAGCATGTTTCAATGTGTTCCAGACTGGGTTTTCTTTTATAGGATTTGGTTTTGTTCTGTTGTCCTTTCAAATAATGCCATGGACTTGGATTTTCATAGCGTGTTTGTTAGCTGCTTCACATTTTCTGTTTAGTCATTAAACTCACCTTTGTTTGAATATCTTCCGTCTTTCTCTTCCACTCTGGCACTGTCATACTCCCTTTAAAAATCATATGGTACAGAGTGACAGGGATCCAAGTTAACATTTGGGTATTCTGAAAGAAGAAAGTGACACATTTTCTATTCTGCTTTACAGGCAAGAGCAAAACCAAGAAGACAAAACAGATGGGATGCATTTCCATAATAGCACATTATAACTGCAGTACAGCACACGGTTTTTAAATAAGTACACCATTACAAATAAATTACCCCCAAAAATGATCAAGTGACTTTAACCTCTGCCCTTGCAATAAGAAATAAACCTTTGCTGACATGTGTACGTTCTACATGTGCTCATGATACGGTACTTGTTCAAAGAAATCTTGTCGTCTACAAGAACATCCAGTTTCATACAATGTCACTCAGATCTAATGCATGCCCAGTAGCCAACAATAATATAAGCTTTGGAAAAAGGGTTAAACTACGAAGCTGTGCTGAGCAGATAATTACGACACAAAGCAGTCTGAGGAGCAACATGTGTTAGCATTTAGCATTCAGCACCATCTCATTAAGCACTGTGCCCTGCCTTACATTCACTTTATGACAACACATTTGAACTGGTTAGCTTGACAAACAGAGATCCAGCAAAGGCACAGTGGATGAACAGACTGTGTTGTTCGTGGGTAGCATTCAAATAACAGTACGTTGAATAAATTAGATGTTAGCTCTTGATATTTTGAAGTAACAGCCCTAAATCATGTTTGTAGGTATGCAGACTGCAGACTCTTGTGGATATGAGCAGCTGATAAACATGTATATCACATAGACCCTTACGCCTCTGCGGATATTAAATCTAATTTGCCCTTCTGGTGCTGTGTCTGTGATATTCATTGCTGAACACTATAACACATAATTGTGGAAAAACACTTTGTCGACCGATTAAAGAGCTCAAGGGTCCCTTTATGTCCGAGAGATAAAAAAAAATGGGAAACAATGAAAGCCAAGAACGTTTCCTCGGAAATTCGATCAAAAACAATAAAAACACAAAAAATCATAGAAGCGAGCTTAAACAAGTAGAGGGGTTCATCCCTTCGAACAGTGTTCACAAAACTACTACTCAGCAGTACATAACACACTACTCATGTATGACATACTGTACATCTTTTTAAAATGTTGTTACCTTGAAAGGTACTATACCGTGAAATTTGGATTTTTCGCCCATAGATCACCCTCTCTCTCTCTGTGTGTGTGCTAGAGGTGTTACTGTTTACACTCGTCTATCTGCACACACACACACACACACACACACACACACACACACACACACACACACACACACACACACACACACACACACACACACACACACACACACACACACACACACACACACACACACACACACACACACACACACACACACACACACACACACACTACTCAACTCAACTCCTACCAACTTACCTGAAGCCTCGTAATTCACTGTTTGTCAGCCACAGATCTGCATGATGTGCTTGTTGAGGACATCCTATGTGAGATGGGAGGGTCCGATCAAGTCTTAAGAAGCAGAACGGTGTTAAGATACTCTCGTTTTGTCGGCGCCATCCATCTTCTCCTTGTTTCCACTGACCTTTCAAAGAGTGGAAGAGGAGACACGAGAAAAAGCGAGAGGAGACCTTTATCAATGGAGTGTATATCATAATTTCCCTCTTTGTCTCCCTTAAAAACGTGCTGTGAGTGTTCACTAACTAGACTGGTGTCCCCTGCTGCGTAAAAGCTGTTATATCCCTTCCATAATATAATTAGCTCTTCAATTATGATACCAAATCTGAAGTTAGGCACTGATGTGTAGTAAATAATCCTTAGAGGCAATAGATAGAAGCATGACATATAAACTTTAAATTGTGAATGAAGTTTTCAAGTAATCCCATTGACTAAACTCCCCCGCCCACCTTAGCTACTGTTGCTATGTATTTCATGCTTTGTGGTATAACACATGTGTAGTTTGAAATACCATAGTTAGAAACCCACATTAGCGTTTAATAAAAAGAAACAAAGTCAACGTTTACCGGTTAAATATTACCATATGCATGACTCCTGACAAATATCTCCTTCATGCTAAACACCCAGGTACATTAAACTAAACAACCAACTAGATTAAGTAACATTACATTGTATTCCTACATCTTACAGCCCCAATGAGAATATTTGTGCACTGACAAGGAACTTGTTTACTGCTTTGCATCCAGAGAGAAAGAACATCCATCTAATTGTTCTGTTTGTGCATCCTCGATTCTACATTTAATGTCCGAGCAGAGCAGCTCCTCATTTCCCCTGAGCGGAGACTGAGTGCATGCAGAGGAGGAGTGGGAGGCGAGAGGAGGAGAGAGGAGGAGAGAGGAGGTGAGCGGCGGAGAGGCCTAAGCAGGGCTATTTTTACGAGGCACATAATAAAGATATGGAGATGAAGCATCTATGTGCTACCTGAGGACCCTCTCACTGCTCCCAGTCTGGCCCGACTACCTCTACTCTTGTTTCTGCTCTCCGGCTCCCGTTGAGGAGGGAGAGCATGCTGAGATGAATGAGAGTAATAACCCTACTGTCAGGAGAGCGAGAGAGAGCGAGCAGTGGGGAGGGTCATGATGGTGTAAACACAGGAGCTAAAGCTTGCAGGTCTGCGCTTCTATTTTTACTACAGCACAGCGGGGGGGAGGAGGGGAGGAGAAAATGGGATGGAGGGAGGGAAGAGGAAGTGGTATGGAAATGGGATTTCTGCATTATTCATGGGCCCGGTAGAGGAGAATGGACGGCGGCTGGGACATCCTGCACACACACGTTTGTACTTAAATACTCATGAGGACGCTCAATGACATAAAACATTCCCCTGCCAGCACCTTAAAGAGTAAACCCACGGATTTTACATATTAAAGATCTACTTATCATACCTTTGTAATAAATCAAACGTGTAAGGGATATACAGAACACATGCATTCCATCTTTCATTTTGAGTGAAAAACTGTGTTGAGAAGGAAAGCTGGCACTGGCTGTAATGTCTGCAAGATAAATACACAGCTGTGAGATTTAAGCAGCATGAGTATAGTTTATTTAAATTAAAAACTATTAAAAAAAACATCCTTCAGTTGAAAAATACAATAACATTTAAAGTGTAAGGAGTTAGCTAAGATTTGTATGTCAGTGTGTCTTACTATAAGAGCATTTGTTTGCTTTTATATTAGTAAAAAGGAAAGTCAAAATAACCCTGCATTTTGTTCCTTTTTTGTTTGTGTTTGTGTTTTTCAATTGATATTTATTTGTGTGTGCACCTTGTTCAGGTGTTTTTGTCCTTGAACCCTTTCACCTTGGTCATATGCATCTCATATTCCACAGCAAGTTTAAGGATTTTTTGATATCAATATTTGATGCTATGATATCCTTGTGTGTCTTTGTACATCTCTACTAACCTGTTTGTGTTTGTTGATGGATGCCATATTATTTACATGGATGAGTGTCCTTCTCAGGGTTGTGTCACGCTCAGTAAAACCCTCTGTGCTGTAACTGTGCAGTTTTTCAGCTCTCTGCTCCCTCTTCCAGACTGGCAGAAAGATCATGTTTCCTCACGATTGATCTTCAAGAATCACAACACGTTTATGTTACACAAACTCACATGACAGTGAGATTTAGCAGTGGGTTTGTTATATAAATATCTCTGCCTGCTAATGTAATGTATTACATAAATTCTGGGGTGTCATGGAAATAAACAAAAGGACAGTACAGAACTGGGAGACATTATCCAGACTACAGAAGTAGGAGTGATGATATTTCTTTCAAGAACAGATATTTTAGATTTTCTTATGTACAAATGGATGGAAGATATAGATTGCAAATCAGTCATTATCATATGTGCTGGTTTTATCACCTGCATTATATTTAAAACTATTGATTATCTCATCTTACTCTTGGCAAAAAAGTGAAAAAGCACATCACTCAAAATGTCGGACTGTTCATTTAAGGTAGTACATCATCTTTTCATGAGGGCTTTCTTCTAAGTAGTGATATCAAACAAAGATTTCAGCTGGCATAGACAGGAAGAGTCTTGCACCGCCTGAACTGCAGTCTTGTATTTATGTAACCCTGTTGTGGGACGTTTCACGATCTATGATTTATAGTTGGTTGTGGTAAAACTGTGGCGTTAACCTCACTCACCTTGGCTCACCTCCATTCCATCCTGGGACCTGAGCAGGCAGCAGCAATGTCCTGCAGAGATGCAAAAGACAGAGAATGAGAAAGAGACAGAGAAGAGATAAACAGAGTTTGTGAAATATATCTGCAGCCGCTCGGCAGTTGACCAGGATGCTGCTGCTGTAACGTCCTTAGTCTGACTGGCAAGGCTTGATGCTGATCTGACAGCTCCTGCTGATGAACTGTGGAGAGAAGGGAACACACACACACACACACACACACACACACACACACACACACACACACACACACACACACACACACACACACACACACACACACACACACACACACACACACACACACACACACACACACACACACACACACACACACACACACACACACACACACACACACACACACACATTCTTGTTGCAGCACCCCCAAATCACCAAGATCTAATCCAACAACATCATCTGATCGACATCATCTGTCTGTTTGCAAACTGCGGGCACAAGTCAAACTATTACAGTACAAGCCCTAAACCACAATTACTAAAGTAGATTAAAATAAAATAGTTATTTTTTGCTATAACTTTACAAAGAGGACCTAATTTTTGAAGTTGTTTACAATAAAACAAACACAAATAATTGGCTTTCACACTGAAGAGCTCCAATGCCCACTCACACACACCAGTTTGGGAATTAAGTGCATTGCTCCAACCTTTAAAACTCACTGCCTCTTACGTGTTAAACATGTGTGACATATGTGACAAGTTTTGACGTTTGAAGGTGACACGTCGTTTCGGTGTCGTGCGCCTGCTCGGCAGCTGGTCACTGATGAGCGTGTTGCCAACTGATGCCAGAGAAAATACATTGGAGCTGATCATCAGAGCGGAGAGCAGACGTATAGATGTATCAGTTTGTCTCATCTTTCTGTCAGACATCTCCTGTGTTGTCACTGTCATATGAAGGTGACAAATAATGATCATCATCTCCATTTTATACCTCATATAAAACCTGATTCCTTGTTCATATGATAATCGGCTTACTAGAGAGAGCTGGATGTAACCTGATACATGTAAACAAACATCATTTACACATTCATCCATCTGATTAACATCCATCAACATTCACACTCTCGGAGTCAATGAAACTGTGTTCAGTTATTATGAATCCACCAGTAATTCCAGCTTGATTAGACAGCATAAAACAGAAAACATAAAGGGCTAATTAGTCTATAGAATAAACAGGGATTAGAGAACTGTGTTTACTGATGTTTTTCTGTCAGACACTTTCCCTTTAATCTTGTAAAAGTAAACTCATAATGTAACATAAAGCAGAGAAAAAATAACAAAATGATGTATAATCAGTACTGACAGTCTCAAAGCCCTTTGATACTTTGATACTGTGTGGTATGTTTCTTTGTGTGTGTGTGTGTGTGTGTGTGTGTGTGTGTGTGTGTGTGAGAGTGTGTGTGTGTGTGTGCAAGTGTGCAACTGGAATAGCAGGTGACCTGTTTTAGCATTGAGGCCCATAGTGCTACGTAGAATGGAATACATATGCGTGTGTGTATCTGCGAGTGTGTGTGTGTGTTTGTCTAGCTAATCATGTGTGGCTGAGTGCACTCAACAACAACAACACCCCATCACCAGACAGACAGGCTGGCCGGCAGGGACCCCTGTCCACCATCTGTGTGTGTGTGTGTGTGTGTGTGTGTGTGTGTGTGTGTGTGCGTGTGCGTGTTCGACTGGTGGTAGTGATGGTCTGGTCTCCACCTGTCCCCCCTGTCATTACCCAGGAGGTGATGGAGGGGAACAGAGACAGAGTAGAGGGGAGGAGGAGAAGGAGGAGTAGGTGAAAAGGGGAGAACAGTGAAGATAAACAGAAAAATAAAAGAGACAGAAAGAGCAGAGACCTCAGTGTGACATAGTCGCAGGGGAAGAAACCAGAAAGAGACATTGAGAGACTGCAGAAAAGACCTGATGTGACAGAGACAAAGAAACAGGATGCAAACCGACAGACTGTGATGTGGATGTGAGGGAAAGGAAGGATCAAAGAGAAATGATAAGGGGATGGTGAAAGCAGTGAGAAGAAAAAGAAAGCTAGCAGCTCTAAAAAAGATGAAGAGGCCCAACAGTCTGTTAAAGCGGAAAATAAAAACTGGAAGAGCAGAGCAAGTCCGATGTTCAGACAGCCTGATGACAGAAAGCTGTGAATGTGACAAAAGTTAAGCTGTTGAAATATGACAAAAATAAAAATACATATTAACTGAGAACTGTTAACCCTGATTAACTGTAGCTATGTTAGAAATGGTACCAGCAATTACACAAATATTTAGAAACAACTGGCCATGAAGGAAGTGTAACACTGACATTCTTGTTTTTGTATCAATTGATGAAAAGGGGCTTCATTTATCTTCACTTAGATGTGGAGTTCCTCAAGGCTCAATTCTCGGACCCATGTTATTTCCCTCCGAACGCTCTTTCGGATGACATTATCTGCTGGTTTGGTTGTGAATAGTATCATTGCTAGGCTGATTCTACTGCTATACAGACTTATGCCACACTTTGAGCCTTAACATTTTATTTTCAATGAAATGGCATGCGCAGTAATGCCTGCACTCAAAGCCGTAATTATATCAATTCAAATCAAGTTTTATTTATATAGCACATTTTTAAACGATTTTTGGTCGAGCCAAAGTGCTGTACATATAATAAAAAATAACCTACAGTAAAGACACTTTACAGCAAATACAACAGCACAGTTTGTGCAGAATATCACGCTACAGAAGTTCTTGAAATGTCCCTCAATATTTTTCAGCAGTTCAAAGTTATTGTTCATGCTTTTTGGGGCTATTTTTTGTGACTCTCTTAACACAGGGTCAAAACAAAAAGAGGTTTATGTCTTTTTTAATAATATAACATTACAGAGTTTAATGCTTTTGCAGATACAGCCATTTTCAGTATCTGATTTATTGTGAACATACAATACAAACAATAGGTTGTTGCTACTATATTTCCTCTCTGACTTGACAAGGATAGCTTGATAGTTTACCTCAATGTCTGCTTAACTGACCATATTAGGATTACAATGAATGCAGTATCTCTTTAGCAAATGAATGCATAATGATACTGTTTCTCTGGATATCACTGCTGCCGGGCTGTTTCTGTGGGCGAGGGCAAACATTGCATGGTGAATATGGTTCTTGCATATTGGTGTGATGAAGCAGTTCATTGCCCATCTGCTTGTTTTAAACTCCCTCCATATGGAGGAGCACTCACAGAAAAGATAATTCATTGTTTCCTTGTATTCAATCTTGCTTCATTTGTAGATCCATAAAACGGTGATACGATACCAAAAATGTTTCTGTTTCTGACTTTGTGACCACAGTAATTAACACAGTGTTTTTGCTGTGGGTGAAATACAATCCTAATTATTTTAAGTTGTCCTTGTTAAAGATGTAATGCTGATATAATAAATGTTAATAAACAGGATTCTTTTACAATTTATATCATTTGTAACACATGTAAATATGTCAATAAATAAATGGTTGAGTTTTTGCAATAAATACAATCAAATATTAAGGATATAATACACATAAAAGGGTATGAAATGTAATGTTTTTAAGAGCAGATTTAACCTCAAACTCATATGCACTTTGTTCTTCTGATCTAGAGGGTTAACACAGGGTTAAATCACACAAACACAAACACACACTTCCAGGAACCCTCCTGTCCCTCAGGCTCACCAGGATTCAGATGTCATGAGTGTATTCTCCCCGGATCAGTGGGAGGTCACGGTAATTAGCACATTTCACACTCGTCTGCCAGCACACACACACACACACACACACACACACACACACACACACACACACACACACACACACACACACACACACACACACACACACACACAACACACACACACACACACACACACACACACACACACACACACACACAAAACACACACACACACACACACAAACACACACACACACACAACCACACACACACACGTCACTGAGACATGTTAATTAATGACTTAAGACAACAGAAATGAGAACCACTCAGAGTTTTTAGTTGAGGGTTACAAGCTTGTTTATGACCAAACGTTAGAAAATGACACGAATGAGCATATAGAAATAGATAGAGACACAGCAGCGAAAGAGATGAGAGAGAGAGGAGTCGTGGAGAGAGAGAATATGAGAGAGAGGAAGAGAGAGATGAGAGAGGAGATTAAGAGATATAGAGAGTGACAGAGAGAGCAAGAGAGTGAGGAGCTAGAGATGAGAGACAGGAGCTAGCCCTTAGAGGAGACTCCTAGCTCAGATCGTATCTCTCTCTCTTCTCTCTCTCTCTCCATCTCTCACTCTCTCTCTCTCTCTCTTCCTCTCTCTCTC